ATTAAGTAATCTTTAGTATTTTATCATCGCGGTTAAATGTTTAATCTTAAACATGCCTTAGTTTCGAATCAAATGCAGTATGTAATTATTTGTGTACGAAGGCAAAACAGAAACAAAAAGTTAAAAGCAGCTCAAACTCGGCGATACCATTTTACTAATAAATCTATCATTTTTCCCTTCTACTTTCTTACCTCAATCCTCAATGAAATCAAAGATCTCATTATCATCTAACATTATGTGCCACATGGAATCTCATTGTATAAACTCAAACGCCATATTACCTGAAAAGAAACTACTTTACAGGATATAATTAGTTAGTTAAAGACTAGCAATCTCAGATACTTTGTTCGATCTCATGGAAAGTTGAAGAATATTTAAGCATAAAAGCATGATATATTCCTCCCATATTGTGTAAAAACTAATAATAATTTCTAAACAGCTGAATTGGATTCTCCCCAGGCTTTGATGCAAAGTGCCGCACCTATACATAGATAGAATGGTCCAAATTTTGATGCAAAAAAAAAAAAAAAGGGAATGTATTGCTAGAATTTTGACACTTGTTATAACTCAACAATTCCTGAAATTCTAAAGTACTAATTTTTACCAAGGAAATTATTGAACCCACCAGAAGAGAATTGCAGAAACTAGCATATTCATTGAATATGGATTAACAGTGGCAAACCATTAAAAAATAAAAATAAAAAGGGTTCTGATCAGTTTCTTTTCATTTCATACGGCCGTACGTGTCTGAAACCTTTTTGCACGTTCAAGCTCGAAAGGAAAAAGTTAGAACTTTATGAACCCTAATTAATCAATTAAGATATCCCCAAATCATGGGTTTTGAAAGTTGAATCAGATGGAATAGACAGTATCACTGAAATGTTGCCTCTAAATGTAGAAAGAGATCAGCATTAGCATAATGGCCTTTGGAGAAATGAAGTTGCAAGTATTACAGAAGAAATTATTTTATGTTACAAATTTGGATCAAAGGATAAGATGCTTTTCATTAAGATTTGATTCTTGTTAGTATAGGGCAGAGAAAGAAAATGAGAGAATGTATGCAAATCATATGCTTTTAGGATTTGGAATGTAAATCTTCAATTTTAGTACGTTAACCTTAAGATAACATTACAAGACTATATATTATATTCAGATCAATTCTTTCTTATTTAAACTGGTAGATATATGTACTAATAGGAAAAGTAAAATCTTCATTTGATTATTACTTTGGTAGAAATTCTCATGAGTTACTTTCAATGTGGCCACTACTTTAACCTCCAAGTAAGCAAAAGTTATCTTTTGACATTTTATTATTTATTTTATCCTAGACCATTAACTGTTAATGTCCACAGCTTGTGTTTCGCCAGTAGTTTTGAATATAGAAATCTCCAGGTCTATAATTTCAGTTTGTATCAAAGCACACTCGAACACCGCTGAATTAATAATTTATAAATTAATAATTTTGATTTTTGAATAATTGTGTACCATCCCAACTTGGAACAAATATAAAAAGTAAGTCAAATTGTTAAAATGCTAAGACAATATTAACATTTTGAAAAATCTCTTATATATCAATTGGTTCCGAGAAGAGTATCTGAATATAACATGAACTATGTATGAATTTTAGCATCAAGCAGAGTTTCAATTCTTCCTGGATTAGGATGGTAAGGATATATGAAAATTAGATAATTTTAGTAATTAACGGTTCTTTTTTCCTTAATTAAACTCATTAAATTAATAAATTATTAAGTTATCGATTATTGAATAATTCTCTAAATTAGTAAATTTTAGTAATTCTTACACTATTAATTTAAAATAGAAGTTTTACCATACTAAACAACAAATCAATAAAGTGGACTATTTTCTGAAACATAGAGACCGAAAAATTGTCTCTTCACCCTTTGAAGTCCAAAAGGAAGAGAGAAAAAGTAATGGAAGCCAAGTTGACAATAATTGACGACTTGTTGAGTCATATGAATATTCCATCCACGCCAAAATGCCAAATTAGTACCAATTTGAAAGGTAAAAATTGAGTACTTTTCTTTTGGGGTGATAGATATTTCATGCGTGCCAAGTGTGGATTTGATTGGATCCTCCCACGCAATGACACACAAAAGTTGAGAGGTGATTCGATATAATTTTGCTCATATAATCTGCACATATGTCCACTTCTTCACGTGCTTATTTGTTTGCATTTCATAGCATCTACTTATCAGTTATCACAATATTAAAAATATGTGAGGAAGAAAAAAAAAGGAAGAAGAAGAAGAAGAAACACGCACGCACACACACACACACAGTATACAAATTATTACGCATTTGCAAAATTCTTGCATAATATACCATCTATATATTCTATGGGCCTGCAGTTAAATTATAGGGCACTTGTTGTTTGGGGTGGCCACTGTCCCCAACATGCACCGAAATTAGGATCGGATTCTTACGAGGTCCTGATAAAACAATATGCATGGAACAATATCAATCTAGGTCGGTTGATCATTGTTCATACGTTATATTTATTCATTAGGGTATACGTACTAGAATTAGAATCCATTGTATGATAGAATCATTTACTTATCAATCACAAATTGTCTCAATAAATTTATAGCTAATAATTAAAGTCTAAGAACATCGACGAAAAGGGTCTCACTGTTGTGGAAATATAATCAAAAAAGACTTCTGAGTAGACCAAGAAGAACATTACATGGGAAGATTTGCTCATCTATAAAGAAGGAGAAAAAAAAGAAAGAGTGTGTAATAACCTGCTTTGCTATCCATCATCTCTCGCGTATTTTTGTTGATGAAATACCTCATTTAGCATGAGTACTGTTTCCTATTCAAATACTGTTACTTGAACATTCTTCCCTGGAGAACAAGCTTGGAGATTATGGCTAACCATTGTACACGCTTTAGACATCTAATTAGATAGGTTATAACAATTTAACTGTTAATTAGTCCAACAATATGATTGTAACTTTCACTCTTGTTTTCTAAAGTTTATTATCATCGATGTCGGAAAATAACACAACATGGAATCTTATCATAGCGAAACATTCCAAAGACCGACCAATCCGAACTTGGTGGGAACGAAAAACTTATTGCTTCAATCTCGTAATTTGATGGCCAATGAACAATTCCATTCTTTTGATTCGTAAAAGGGTTGAAGAAGAACAGACTACTTTGTGGCATTCCTTTTTTTGGACGTTAGTAACCACCCATACTTGGAGCAATGTATATTTGTATCCTTATTATTAAACTCTGGAGTTTCAACCTCGTACAAGGAATCATAGGCAAAATCAAACATCTGAGTTGTACTGCCATCCTCCTCCTCCTCATCATCATCGTCATCACCGTCATCATCATCATGATGAGGTACAATCAATTTGGGACATGAAAAGTATGGAAAACGTTTCGAGTATATGATAAAATTCCAGTTGTTGGAATTGGCATAAAAGAAAACCCTGTATTATGTATCAAAGAAAAGAAATTTCTCTTTTCTACAGGTTATAAGATTGGTGGATCATCCAATATTTGCCGAGTATATACTTAGTCACGTACGATACGTTTCCAACTCCATTTGTGATTATAATTCATCTTGAATTTCTTCCGAATGGTACTTGAAATTCGTTAACCTTAGGGGGATAAAAGAGAAAAAGAAAAATTAAACTAGGATTTAGTTTTCACAAGGGATTTAGAAATAATAACAGAATAATATAGGGAGGGAGAGAATATAAAAACCAAAACGAGTTAGTGGTTCAGCTATCTCTTGTATCTAAAATATATATAATGTACCCCTCTGCTCCCTATATTAAGTCATTTTAAGTTGTTCTAAGTTTAAAATCCAATATGTATTTTTAATTGAAAAAAATATTAAAAATATATTTTTACATTCGTTGTGTTCTCTTTATTGTTAGAAAATATTTTTATAATTTTTTTATCAATTAAAAATGCGTAATAGATGAAATTTATGACAAATCAAAATATCTTATATTAAGGACCGGAAGGAAGGAGTACTATTAACAAGAAAAGCACATGAAATTGAAATCATCAGTTTGACAAATTATAAACTCATCTATGTGTGATTAAGGCTCTATAGTTAGTTCGTTGTTCATGTGATTGAATAAAAAAAAAAAATGCTTTCTTCCATACTTTCTTACATTCTTTTTATCCCACAAACATAGTTTATATCATAATTTGTGAATAACTATTTTTCTGTGACAGGCATTATTGATTTTAGTTTGAATTTTTTTTATACAAACAACAGAATCTGCCATTAATTAATGTATAATAACATTGGTGATCGACCTAACAAACTAGCCCAATAAATAGGCTTTTTACAGCCCACAGTATAGTGATCCGCAAAGCCCATCATCTAAGACGCAATTCTCCGGCAAGTCAACCTGTCAAAAGCCGTCATTTCTTTTCTCCATCCTCTCTTATCGCGTTTTCTTACCAAAAAAATAAATAAATAAATAAATAAAAATATAAAGTGGAAGGCAGATTTTCAACGAGTTACGAATGAACTAAAATTCCAAATTTCAAGATTCAGGGAGTAGTAATTTGTATGCATCTGTCGTCGTGGTTTACGACTCTTAAACACCTCGTTAATTTATTGATTTCGGAATCAAAAGAATCCCTAATTTTGATCATTTCATGATTCTGACGAGGTGTTTAAGCTGAGCCAATCGTGTTATAATCCAATTCTGCACAAGCAAAATCCAGATTTTGGTTCTCAGTTGAGGGATTCTGGATTTTTGATGTGCAATTATCGCTTTAATATAGATTTTGTGGAGTAATTTAAGTTGTTCGTGCAAAGATGGATAATTTAATGAGTAGGATACGAAGCTTGGATGCGTATCCGAAGATCAATGAGGATTTCTACAGCAGAACTCTATCCGGCGGTCTCATAACCTTAGCTTCCTCCATCGTTATGTTGTTGCTCTTCATATCCGAGCTCAGTTTGTTCCTCTTCCTTTCGCTTTCTCTTTTTTTTTTTTTTTGATTTGAAGGATTTAATTGGAAGTATTAAGATCATAATTGGGTTACATTTGACTGTTTTTGTTTTCCATGTGTTATGTTTGTGTTTAGATTTCTGTTTTGTCTCTGTATTTGTCTAGCAAGTTGTCCATGTCCTCGTTACATTTGGTTGCTGATGGTGATTTTAGTTTGTGTGATTAATGTGATTAGTTCGAGTATGCTGCTTTCCGTTTTCTGGTTGATGGTGGAAGCAAATTGTCAATTCTGAAGCATTTTTGTTTCTTCAGTTCTGATTTGGACTTCTATTTATTCACCATTTTGGTTGTGTGCAGGGCTATACCTCCATTCAGTAACTGAAACTAAGCTTGTTGTAGATACATCCAGGGGAGAACGGCTGCGGATTAATGTAAAGAAATCATGTTTTCCAACCTTTGTTCAGTTTCCTGTTGCCTTTACATGATGGTCCTCTGTTCATATTTGCCTCCTTTCTCTTATGTTCCTTTTCTTTTTTTTTTTTGGAGTTATGTTACTACTTTCAAAACGTAGATATATCTGCTATCTTGCCCCCAGAATTTGTTTGCTGCTGCTTTTTTGTAACTGCTGTAAATGATCTCTGCATAAAGCTTGAAAGGATTTTTAATTGACGTGTTTCTTTTGGCTGCTGTTTTGTTTCCAGATAATTGAACAAAATTATGATTGAGATGTCCCTCCTGATGTCCTGTTATTTTTCATTTTTTTGTCTCATCTGTTTTTCATTTGATCGTTTTTCTTTGAGTTATTATTTGTTGCTTGGAAAACTGATTGATTTTTATATTTCTTGCTACTGAATGTGCAGTTTGATGTAACGTTCCCTGCACTTCCATGTTCCATGCTCAGTGTTGATGCCATGGATATTAGTGGCGAGCAGCACCTTGATGTTGTAAGTACAAACAACCAGTGATTTTTCATTTCAAGCTATTTGTGTATGTGCATTTGCCCTTGCAGCGGTTTAGTGATTTATTACCTCTGTCCATTGGTTGTGAGCCAGTGCATTGAGACAGTATGAGGGAAAAAGTCTCCTTATATTGATGAAACTATTGTGATAATCTTACTGATGTTGCATGCTGCTTCTGCAGAGGCATGATATAAACAAGAAGAGGATTGATGTCCATGGTAATGTGATAGCAACAAGGCAAGAAGGGATTGGAGCTCCCCAGGTTAGTTAAGAGAATGATTACTGTTTTCTTGTTTTGGTGTTTATTCATAAGTTATTGGTTTTCCTTTTTTCTGGGAGTTTGTTTTGCTGCTGGGTTGTGAGCTAATTCTGTTGCATGCAAAAGTTTCAGCTGTAGTAATAATCTTAAGCTTTCTCGTTTCAACGTATTGGAAGCTACTAAGAATACAATACAGAGCATTCTTAATGCTTGGATAATTTGGATAAGAAAGAAGTATAGAGTTTTCTTCTGAACTTAAGTGGCTGTTACCATTAAAAATAGAGGGGGCTGTGTTTTAGAAGTATTGAAGGCCAAGTATCTTTGATGTGACCTAAATCTATCTGCCTTTTTCTATGGAACAGATAGAAAAACCTTTGCAAAGACATGGTGGCAGACTTGAACATAATGAAACGTATTGTGGTTCTTGTTATGGTGCAGAAACGGTATGCTTCTCTTTGATCAGAAATTGATTGCCAATATTTCACTTTTACCATATAAACTGCTCTCGATTTCTCTCTCTACAGTTTTAGTGTGTGCCAGACTTACTTCAATCACTGACCTTATCAGTGTTCAGTCCTATTCTTTTCATCTAAATTTAAACTAGTGTTTATCTCAATTTTCCTGTTCTAATTTTCCTGGCATTCTACCCTATTTTAACTTTTTATCTACAGTCAGATGATGACTGCTGCAATACATGTGAAGAAGTTCGAGAAGCATACCGTAAGAAAGGTTGGGCTGTGTCAAATCCAGATCTCCTTGACCAGGTGAGTAGCTTCATTTGTTTTGAATTTGCATATTCTTCATGCCTGTTGATTGAAAGAACAAAATGGATTGGAAAACGGAGATCTCTTATTGTTGACGAGCCTGAGAAATTAAGTTATGTAGTAGCTACATGGGTAGTTGGAAACTTAATTAGTAAAAGAAGTTATTTGAGTTTTGAAAAGGGAATAGCGCACACAGTTACTGACCTAAAAAGGGCATACCAAAAGATTTAATTGGCAGGCTTGAGCTATTCCCAACTAAAAATTTTTAAATACAGGACCATTTTGTGAAGAAAATTGGAGATTGCCAAAAATGTTACCTCCGAGCACTGTGAAACAAATGGAGAAGGGTGGCATCTATTCTTTTTCATATAAATTACTCCCTCCGTCCCATAATTATTGTCCAGTTTGGATCTTCATTTCTAGTTAAAATTGTACTAAAAGTGAAATCTCAAACTGGACAATAATTTTGGGACAGAGGGAGTATCTCTTTAATCGGTAAGAGAACTTTATAAAACAACTTATAAGAGCAGGATAGCTCAGAATGTTGCCCAACTTAATGCTGAGTTGAATTAAAACTGTGTAGCAAAAGGAAAATACTAAACTGGATCAGCAAAAGCTCTCTAGTTGTTCAGCTTAGTAATAGTAATACATTGGACAGAGTGGATGTAGGGCATAGATAGGTAGAGGATAAAAACATGATGGGACAGAGTGAACACACGCCTATAGGAGATTCTTGGATGCTACTGTAAAGATGCAAGAGGACTAAATTTAAAGGTAAGCAAGCAAGGGACTCAAAAATTGAAAAATGTGTTTCATTGAAATCCTAGTGAGAACATGTGTTTTGGTAGAACACCAAAATGAGTGATCGATATGCATATGACTAAAATGTAAGAAAGGGACAACAGGATTGATTTCGATTTAACAAAATAGCACTTTTAAACTCGGCGGGGGCAATCGTCAGTATTAGCGCGGCCGAAAAAGGTAAGGAAAATGTGCTAAATTTGTAAGTGATGTATTCCAGTGAAAACATGACATTGTCTAAGGTCTGGGAAATTTGGTTAACACCATATATCAGATATCATAAAACTTAAAAACCTTCTTTCGCTGTATTTTCATTAGCAGCTGCCCTGTTTATCAAACTGCGAATGAAATTTCAATGAAAGCCATATTGGTTTAGCAATTAAACTTCCTCAGTTCCCCATTATTTAGTCCCATTTATATTACTATTACATGGGATTATTTATTAGGACTTTGTTGTGTGTCCCACCTTTTTCTAATTTGTTCTGCAAATAGCAATATGTTTGTAATGGATTTACAAAGAATTGGTACCTTTTCAGAGGTGTGGTGTCACAGCTGTTAGCCTAGAAATTTGAATATTATACTTTTCTAAGTTAAACCTTTTCCACGTAACCAGTGTAAAAGGGAAGGTTTTCTCGAAAGGGTTAAAGAAGAAGAAGGCGAAGGGTGCAACATTTACGGCTTTTTAGATGTCAATAAGGTTGCTGGGAATTTTCATTTCGCACCTGGGAAGAGTTTTCAACAGGCCAATGTTCATGTCCATGATCTGCTGGCTTTTCAAAAAGACAGCTTTAACGTAAGATCCGACTTTCAAGCCACAAACTACATGAATCCTGTGAATTTGCGTGAATCATTTTTGTTTTTCTGCTTTTTGTGGAATTTTCCCAAAACTGATTCGCTAATTATGTATTACAGATAAGCCACAAGATTAATCGGTTAACTTTTGGAGACTATTTCCCTGGTGTTGTAAATCCTCTTGATGGGTATTCATTTGTCCTTCACGAAAACTTCTGTTACAACTTATAATCACAAATTTTCCCTTCATAACAGTATGATTCTTGGGCTTTACAGTGTGGATTGGACACAGAAAACACCTAATGGGATGTATCAATATTTCATCAAGGTTAAGTGTTCCTTCTTTTAATTTGGCACCTGAGATTTTTGTTTTCGCTTGCCTTTTTAGTAACTAGTTTGTATTGAGAACATGTAAAGTAATTCTTGTACAACTAAAATTAACTGTCATGTTCCTAACTGCGACAATTTGTTGTGTTTTTGAGTAGAAAGAAACCAGTCCAAATGCATTTTTGAAATAATTTCTTTTCTGCATTTTTTTTGTCTTTTTACTGCAGGTGGTACCTACTGTATACACCGATATAAGTGGATACACAATCCAATCAAATCAGGTGGGATAGATTCCAAAGAATTCATTGTTGTTCTGACTTTTTTTTACTGAGACTTGAATGTTAATGCATTGTTTTTTGCAGTTCTCAGTTACTGAACATTTTAAGGGAGCAGAAAGTGGCCGTCTTCAGTCTCTTCCTGGAGTTTTCTTCTTTTATGATCTATCACCAATTAAGGTTTGTATATGCTTTGGGAGAAGATTTTCTAGTTTGATGGATAGTTAATTTTATTTTTATTGTGTCAGATGGTTGATCATTGTCATGCAGTCAAGAGAATTTACTGCTATGTTTGATCGATCTTACTCTTCTAATGTCGTAGGTCACTTTTACCGAGGAGCACATATCATTTTTGCATTTCCTTACCAATGTCTGCGCTATAGTGGGAGGTAATTCGTCTACCTTCTCGGAGCTACATGATGACCTTAAACAAAAAAGCATTCTTCTCTGTGGTTGATTAGTGCTCAGACTGGCTTGAGCATGAAAGTTACCTTTAGCATTATAAGCACATGCATAATCATCATGCATTAAGGCTGCTGAGTCTGAATTCTTCCTTTCATATTCAATGATGCATGTTCCCGGGATTCTGCTTTCGTTTGCGGGTGTAGAGCATGAACATAATTTACCAGTTCAAAACAATTATACTGGAACCCACTTCTTGATTGTGGAGATGTGTATGCTGCCTGTGTTACTCGTTATTTTTGTCATTCACGTAGTCTTAGATCTTGGGGAATGTTTGTTGTAGGAGTGATGTAGACACTGATTAGATAAGTTTCTGCAATGCATGTCAAATCTTGTGAAAGAATTGCTGCTTTTCAGAATGTTGTAGATTATGCCCATTTTCTGACGTTAATGCCTTGAGCTTTTTGGTTTCTGCTGCCAGGTGTTTTCACTGTTTCAGGCATCCTTGATTCTTTCATTTATCACGGACAGAAGGCAATCAAGAGGAAAATGGAAATCGGTAAATTCAGCTAGTGGATGATCGGAAAAACAATCTTCTGTTGTGGCGCTTTTGCTGCTTCTGATGGAGAAGCTTCTGTCGAGACCCCTGAGAGCTTATCAGATAGTGCACACTGAAAATGGTTAGCTTAACAGATATAGATGTAGTGCTCTTCCCTTCGCTTAGCTTCGTTATGAATGGTGTAGATGATTTTGATGATTAACACTATCTTACTTTTCGGCATCGTAACTGACACTTGATCAAATAGTTGTTCGAAAAGCAGTCGCCTGAAGTCGGGAACATTTTGAAAATATTTGAAGGAGAGAACGTAATGAGCTGAAATGGATTACGGTTTTGAAAGTGACTTGTTTTAAATTTATCGCTGTTTTGAACCAGTAGATCAGTACCATTCCTTGCTCAAGGTTTACAGAAAGACCTTTGCTCTTTCAATTATCTTTTAATCATCAAAAGAGATAATTCTATCAAGTAGAAATCAATGAACAAGATCCTCAGCCTCTTTTTCGTTCTTTCCTTAAATCTTGAACAGCAATATCAGGTGACTAATGTGGCGTATCACCTCATGGTTCTCGTAGTTGTAACGAATTAATATTTTGATGTTTAATTGTTTGATCTTCGAAGTAACCTTAAATTCTTTGATTATTTGTTCATACTTATCAAAATACTTAGAATTCAGAGCAAATTAGTTAGTTAATGCTTTGGTAAAATATAAATAAAAATAAAATTCCCAAGGTTTCAGAAAAAAAAAATTAATGATGATTTTTATGTAGCCCGCCTGTGCGTCTATGGAACAGAAGCCCAGTGTTTTTGTTAGCCCGGCCTATGAGTCATAGAAGCCCAAAATAAATTTCATAATCGTATAGAATCGAAAAATCGTAAAACATTTTTAAAAATGCTATCGATTTTAAGGCAATCCTACACTATTCACTATTCATGGAGTTGTGGATGATTAGTGTTAAAATTGGTTTGAGCATGATAGTTATCTTTATGATTTAAGCATGTACATAGTTCTTATCCATCAAGGCTTATGAGTCTGAATTCTTCCTTTTATATTCATGATACATTTTCCGGGGATCTAGCTTTCGTTTATGGGTGTGGAGTATGAACATACTTCAATAATTCAAAAAGGGCTATACAGATACAGATGATGTGCTCTTTTCCTGCATTAACATTATCTTTGTTTTCAGCATTGTTATTTACACTTGATCAAATAGTTGTTTGGAAAGCAGTCGCCTGAAGCCGGGAACACTTTGAAGATGTTGGAAAGAGAGAACGTCTGTCAAATGAGTTGAAATGGATTGCAAATTTGAAAATGACTTGTTTTATACTCCTCGTAGTTTTGGAACTAGTTAATCACTATGTCGTACTTTGTTCTTTAAATTGTCTTTACCTCTCAAAATATATAATTCTATTAAGTAGAAGCCAATGAACAAAAACCGTCAACCTCCTTTTCCTTCTTCCGTTCCAAATAATATACTTCTTTCAGTTTATAATATAAAGTATTTTGATTTATCCTAGTTTTCACCTAGTACACATTTTTAATTTTAAAAAAAAAATTTTAAAACCATTTCATAACAATCAAGAGAACATGAAGAATATGAAAATATATTTTTAAAATTTTTTTTGTTGATTAAAAATATATACTAGGTGAAATGTGGGACAAATTAAAATATCTTAAATTAAGGACCGGAGATTTTCTGCTGGAATGGAATCTTGTTATCCAATTTCGAGATGAAACGAAAGCCCAATTATTTTTCTTAACACAAAAAGGCAAAAAAGGCCCATTGTTTTTCATTTTGGTTCCATGTATCCCTCTAAAGTGTAACATATCCATGTTTTTTGACATTGACATTGACATTTATTGTTCACAAGGCCCATTGTTTTCCATTTTGGTTCCATGTAGTAAATTAAAGCAGAATACATCAGTTATTTTAGCCATGAATATATAGTAACCCTAAACCCTAACTTGGGCTTTTTTTCACAAGGATGAAGCAAAATGTTTGAAACCTAGTCTAATACATTTTGCAAGTGAAAACCACTAAATGTATATCATGTTCCATTCACAGTATAATTACACACTGAGAATCATAGAGTCCAATATATCCCTCAAAACCATTTACATCTTTTTGTGCCAAATAATCTATCACAAAATTAAATTCCATAATATATGCTAAACTACCATAACTTAGTGTTTACTCAACCAAATATGCCCTAACAACATCTAGCTCATTGAGCATTCAATATCTTGATTTCGCGATGATTGTTTTGGGCTTTAACACTTAGGACCCCCGATGAAATATAAACAAGCAAATGTAGACGGGTATGTTTTCCTCTAGATTAATGGATTGGAAATTGAACATTAGCTAGTTAAGAGGGTTTATCTCTTAGAACAAAGCTAATAGTCCATTAAATTAATCCAGTAGAACATTTAAGGAGTAAATTTTATTCTGTTTAAAAAGAAAAAAAAAATTCATGGCATAAATATGTAGTTATATAACAACTCCAATTCACATATATTTTGACTCGTGCTGGACCACAAAAATTCGATCATGTCAATGGGTTTTCAACTTTTCCCCTAAAAGCTAAAGGGAGAATAGTGCAGAACATAAAGCAAATGATAATCTTGCCTAAATAAAAGTTCGAATCCTAACTTCCAAGTATGAAAATCCGGAGAATAATTAATAAACAGATTTATAATCAAACAAGAATAAAAGAATCCTTGTGTGTTACACAACCAAAAATAACGAGGAAAGGTCATTTCTTTGTTTTATTTAGCCTTCCCCATGGTGTGAAAGAATCTCATAAGAAAGTGCTCCATTAGTACTTTCCATTGTGGCATGTTGGAGAGCTGCCTGCTGGGCCTCAAATATTCGTTATGCATTTTTCATTTTTCATTTTTTTTTCATTTCAATTGTAAAATCTTGTGGTATGATTGAGTGAATCTATCTTATCGCACGCTTGTGAAAAGTATGGCAAGTCGACAATGCATGGATTTCAAACCATTAGGCTCTGTTCCACAATAACCTTTTGACACTGTTTTTTCTTCCTCCCTCTCAAATTGATCATAGGCACTCTAGTGATTTAATGTCAGAGAGTGTTTGATGTGTTCGTGTATGTTAAATCAGTTTATTGTCAAGGTTCGTGAATAATGTACTACCTTCGTCCCAAAAAGCGGTCCATATTTAGTTTTAAAATTTGTACTGTTTTTAGTATAAATTTTTAAACTCAAAATGGATCCTTTTTCTGGAAGTTTAAAGGCCGCCAGGAAATAGATATTGACCGCCATTGACCAAGAGTTGAATTCTGATTTTACCTTTATATTCTAAATTCAAATTCAAATTTCAAAACTCCAAACTTTAACCTTACACTCCAATTTAACAAAGAAAATTATTCTTCCAAATGAATGAAGTAATTTTTATGTTTATACATATTTGATGATATACAATTTCTCTCCTATTTTCCATATACTTTGTGGTAAAATAACTATTTACTTGAATCTGAATTTTTTTTTTTAAATCTGAAAAACGGTCACAATGACATCCAAAAAGTGCCCGGCCGACCGACCTGACGTCCCAGAAAAAAAAGGACGCGGCTTTAAACAAGACAGCACGGTCGTCGTCTTGTTATTTCCCGGCCGCCGTCGGCCCATCCTTTTTATTTTTTTGAATAATTTTTATTTTAATTATTTATTATTCTTTAATTAATTTTTTTCTTTCAATTCAGTAATTTATTTTATTTAGTATATTTTGTTATTTTTTAATTTAGTTTTTAATTTATTACGAAATATAGTCAGTTATTAAATAACTTAACGATTAATTATTGTACAATCTATAGTTAGTTTAATGATTAATATACTGAATAAATAAATTATAAAATTACTAAATAAAATGACAAATTAAAAATAAATAAATAAACTAAATTAATCTTATTCAATGTAATTATGATGCAATAATGTGTGATAAAATAATAAATTAACTAAATAAAATTAATGCAACTTGGTTTTTGAAAGGGTTAAGGCGAGGAAGTTAATTAAAAATTCCAGAAAAATCAAAAGGTTCGGATTGATAATAATAATAATAATAATAATAGACTGGACTGGACTATCATATCCAAAGCAATGGAATTGAGAGAAGGTAACTGTAGGAGATAATGAACTTTCTTCCTTTTGTCACGGGGAACCACTTGATTCCCAGTCAAAAGGGCTAGTTGTAGTAATTAATTAATTAAGCAACAGTGAATCATGGTACAATTCCATACATCATTTCCCCCCTTATCTCAGTCCTGATTGGTTTGATTCCATGATTTCTTTTCCTCCTCCGTTCCATTTCTGCCGCCAAAGTCAAGATTAGGATCACGTACGAATCACGTCTTGGATTCCTTTTCCTTTTCATTTTTCTACTATTCTTTTTCCTTTGGAAAAAAAGAAATTTATTTCCTCCAATCCATAATTATCGTCCATTTCAAATTTTTGTCTTTAGTTTAAATTGTAATAAAAGTGAAATCTCAAACTGAACAATAATTTTGGGACGGAAGATGTAACCGAGTAGTTTTAAAATTTTGGATTAGAGGTGAATAAGAGAGGTGAAGAAAAGTAAACTACAATTAGAAAAGAATCACCTAATGCTTAACCCCCTTCTCTTGTACCAAATAAGTTCGGTTATGGGTTTCCCAGATTAGTTTACCTATTTCCAAATACTTCAATGGCTCAAAGACTTAAAACCGGTTTATATGGCTGAGATCAACTAGAAATTAATTGGGATTGAATCACGATGGCTCCTACTAGTACTAATGATGCCACTAATGATCCCTTTAAAAAAAATGCAGGATTTCAGATTGACTTTTAGGTAGCTTTTGTTTTAACAACTTGTCTTTCTGCCGTTACTACTAGGTTAAATGATTAAATGCAATTATGTAAGATTGTACAACCAACTAATTTAGGTGAGAGGGAAGTTACTATTGATAGAAATATCAGAAATAGTTTATCATCTTACCTTATACAATAATTTCTAAGTTTATTATTTCTTCTGTCCCACGTAAAAAAACTAATCTAATAACAAAGAATAATGATCTGGTTGAACTAATTTAACTCAAGATACATGACCATGGTCATCAGACGGATTAGATGGTAACACGTTTCAGTAATAGATGGATTATATATTGGCTACGATTCCTTACATGTTACGAATTCTTCAAACAAAAAAGGATGATTCTTGAATATCAGCAGTCTCTAGGATTCCAAATACCCAAATAGTAATATGCTAATCTACAATGCCCAGATTGTAATCCGTATTGAATGATCTAATAACATTGGATTACAAATTTTGGGAATTATGCAGAAAATGTGATACCACTCTGTCTACATAATTGAGGAGAGAGTGTTATAGATTCTTCTACTACTGCATAAGTACTCGTAGCAAAATTACGACACGGAAACTGGAGATAGTGACATTTTTGTAGGCTGTCCTCTTTTTTCACTATTTCCCCTAGTTTGCAAGCAACTTGCAAACTAAAAATTAAATTCCACATTATTACAAAATTAAATGTTGTCACCTTCAATATTCAACTATAATGTACTAATTCCTTTTTTTTTTTTTTTCTCTTTTTAGATGCAATTTTTTTTTTTTTTTTTGCATTGAAATGATGCAAATATGTGATCGGAATTCAATCCTTCCGTTACATGACGGTCGCCACTAAGTTCAAACATTGCTGCTGCCCATACCAAAATGATCACCAACAAGCTCCACCACCGACACAAATGATGGGGAAAAAAACCAACAGTTAGTTACTAGTGTGAGGTTTTGTGTGTGTGTGTGTGTGTGTGTGTGGCAAATGATTTTGGCCACTTTTTTTTTTTTTTTTTTTGGCTTTTGGGTTAATGGTTGAGTTTATTATACACGAGTTTCTTTACTTTGATTTGATATTCATGGGTATTTGAAGAAAGGAAGAAATGTCCCAAGTTGGTTTTTTGTTTCCGGCGTTCACATTTCAATTGCGAGACGTGGAGTTTCCATAAAGAAATGACAAGAACTAATGACCTAATTTTGATATTATTATTCTTGTTCAATTAAGAAAAAAAATTACTTCTAATTCGAAGTGACCTAAAAGCACGATCAAACAATTACTTCTAAATCAATGAAGAAGTGTACCATAAGATTCGTGTTTCTAGCTTGGTGAAGTATGCTGCCTTTATCAATCAATTAGGTAGTACTCCTCCGTATTAGAAAAAGAAAATTAGTAATTCACAAAACTAAAAATTCATTATGTTTTTGGAATGGTCCTAATCATCAAGGTCATCTTATGAATCAATTTGCGTACATGCAATAAAAAAAGAGCATTTTATTATTATGTATGAACAAGTTGGTACATTGGAAGCTATATATTTGCTTTAAATGTTTAATCTGAAGTTAGAACCGCTTTTGGTGTTTACTTATGATTAGTAAGAAGGAAAAAGGAGCAAGCAGCAAACTACATTTAGACCAGGCTACACATTATATTGAAAGAAATCACTGGCGGAGAACAAAAATATATTTTGTGAAGAAGATTTAACATTAGCTAATAATAATAATAATAATAATATATATTGACACCAACAAAAATAAGATTACATCGATTGATAAAGAAAAGTACCAATCCTTGGGTGCAGCCTAGACAAAAACAAGCTGCCCAAATTTGGATGATAAGACACCATTACTAGCTCTACTAATCTTAAACCTAATTAGCTATCATTAATTTTACCACCAAAAAAACCCCAAATGGTGATAAACCAATTAAACAATGAGGACCCTCCCTGCAATCTCCAAAAACTCCATTGCAGAGTAGCTTCAATCCTCTTGACTACTTAACACCCCCCAAAAAAAAAAAAAAGAAAAGAAAAGAACTCTACAACCTTCACAAACTACATATTACAACCTTTTTTTTTTCCTTTTTCTCAGAAATAATAATAATACTTGATAAGCTAAGACTAGACTGAAAAAACTCTGGTTATAAAGCTGCCCAATCAATCTCATACGATGGATATTTCTGCAACATGGGATTCTCCGAATACACTTCCCAAGATGTTGTCTCGTCTTCAGTGAAGTCAGGAACGGTCAGATCCGATGAAGGGGAGGAGCCGTCGGATCCATGCCCCGACCCGGCATCGCTTTCCGACCCGGCTTCCGGAGATTTGACGACTTCTTTCTGCTCTTCCGCTTCAGCGGGGGCGGCGGCCTTCTTCTTGGACACCCTGGATTTCTTGCAATCGATGCTCTTCCCTTCGGCCAAACTCTGGCAGATGGCTTGAAGTTTAGCGTCGACGGAGGAATGCAAAGGCTTGTATTCGCCGAAGTCACCGCCGATGAGCGACCCGTTGTGACGAAGGTGAGGGAAGTTCAGCCGGGCGTAATCGCCTCTCAGCTTGAACGCCGCCTTGTCGTAAGCCAGGGCCGCCTCCTCGGCGGTGTCAAAGGTACCAAGCCAGAGCCTAGTCCGGTTCTTGGGCAAACGGATCTCGGCGACCCATTTACCCCAGTGACGCTGCCTCACTCCCCTGTAGAGCTTCGTGGGCTTCGGAGGCGAACCCGATTGCTTCATCGGAACGGGTCTGGGAGCCAAGAAATGGTGAGCCAGATGGGTCTGACTACTCTGATGTGCTGCAATGGGCCACTGGCTGTGATACGGGCCGGAGATCATATGCTGCTGATTTTGGTTCTGGAGGCTGATTTGAGCTTGGATGTCATGGATCTGTGATGGGGTAAGGTGGTTGAGACCAATAGATCCGGGTTGTTCAAGCCCATATAAATTCTGGACTGGGTAACAACTTTCAAGATTGAACTGGTGGGGATAGGAAGAAGAAGAAGAAGAAGAAGAAGAAGAAGGGATGCAAGGGAAAGCAGAGGAAGAAGGAGATGTAGAACAAGAAGGGATGGTTGAGAAAGAAGAAGAAGAAGAACAAAAGTGTTGTTCATTGGAGGGAGAATTAGAAGAAGCAGAGAAAGGGCTAAGGTAAGATGAAGAAGGAGAAGAAGCACCAGATTTCATAAAAGGCTCAAGTGCTTCCATTAATTCACTACCCTGAAAAGGGTCTAACTGATGATGAAGATCTAGAGTAGTGCTACTACTATTCCAGAAATCCATTGTAGCTGCCATGATTCTTTAGTTACTAACAATAAAATTCACAGAAAAAATGTGATTAATAAAAAAAGATCAGCCTGTTTCTTATTAAAATTAAAGAACAGGGTGATTTTTTTTTCTACAAAATAAGATTTACACAAAAAGAAAATGATAGGATCTAAAGAGGTATACAAATAGACAACCTCTTTGTAAGTATCCTTCAGGCTTAAAAATTCAGCCTTTCTGAGTTAGTGAGGGACAACAAATAAAGCCCTCAATAGATCAGAGAAAAGAAAAAAAAAATCTACACAAAAACAAAAGAAAACCTGAAGATTTACTACAACATAAAACAGAAGAGATCTCAGTCTGAAAAACACCTGACTTTCTTGGAGAAAAAAAAAAATCCTGGAAGTCTTAAGTTTGCCTCAAATTTTCAATCCTGTCAAAACCAAATTACAAACCCAGCATTCAAAAACTTCTTTTCTTTTTCGAAAGACAGACAATTAACAGAAAGGGATCAAAGAAGCGGGATTCAAAGAGGGGGAGGGGGAAGAAAAGAAACAATTCACAAATTCAGAAAGCTGTTGAAAGAAATTTCCGTGTGTGGTTTGGAGGTGCACTGTGCAGTGCTCTGTGTGTGAAAAGGTGTGTGGTGCGTGAAAAAAATCTATCTGGTAGTGCTGCGTGTGTGTGAGTGTGTGGCTTTCAAGAGTTCACCTGCTCCTCTTTATATAGCGCTCCTTTTCCCCCTTTGCCCACCGTTTTAACTCCGTTTCGCCTCGGGATACTCAACTGTTTCCAGATCTACCCCTCCGCCATTACTGCGCTTCCGTTTTCAACCTTTTCCGGGTTTTTCTTCTTTCGGTATTTATGACGTAATCTGGCGTCATGCGTTCTTGTTCCAGCCAATGAGGTTATCGCGTGTAGAAACAAGATGGACAGCTGCCAGTTAAGGTAACCGGCACATGACGGTGAATCTTCGGACCTTTTTAACGTCCGTGACTTGCTTTAACGCCTGTTTGACTAAACGCGTTCACACAGACAGACTTGGAGCCTTTTTTATTTTTCATTTTTATTTTGTCTTTTTTTTTCCCTTTCAACAAGTCGTCACTCAATATTTAATTTGGCCCCATTAAGTAGATTCGTATAATTCTCATACTCAGTACGCATGTAAAAATACGGCGAATTTAGGCGAAATCTTTGAATTCCGTCTCCTTCTGCATTTCTTATTTCCTTTTTTTTTTTCCCCAATTCTAAGTTATTTATTGCGTCTTATTTCAATAATCTAATAATTTGTTGAAATCAAAATAATGCAACAAATTTGGCTAGTAAGAATATGAGATTAGTAAAACATTTTTTTGCATCACTTTTCTTGACAGTGTTGAGACAAATGCAGTACTTTTGTTTAATTCCACTTTTTTTAAAAACATTGATGTGGGATTCTGAATTTGTACCAAAAGAGTAGTTATTAAAATTGAATTAAAAAATATATATATATATATATTTGCATTTTTATATACTCTAATTCACGAGATTCGAACTTGTAACTTCTCAAATCAAACTTTCAGTGCAATTCAACTTATAATTTTGTGAACTGAAGTGGAAAGTTTGGTTGGAATGATAGATTATAAAAAAAAATTAGTAATTTTCAAAATAAGTATAATTTCTTCAGATGCAATTAACATGCGTACCTAATTTCTTGGTTTCACCAGTTTTCCTTACCAACTGGATCTCCGTCAAAATTAAGGTTTATTTCAAGTAATAAAACACAATCATATTTATGATCAAATTTGTTCTTTGCCAAAGTTCAGATGAACTAATTGTATCAACCAAAATGTCAACAAGCTCGCTCCTAGTTGATGAAATGTGCAGTTTATATATAGCTTCACCAATTACATTGTTAACCCATTCACCAAATAATTCAATATCTGTCAACACCACTTATGACCATCATCATATGGGGGTGTTGATAAGCCCCAAATGTCCACATGTTTTTTTTTTCTTCTTTCTTTTTTTTTTTTTTAATTCCTTATTTTTCTAGTGTTTGACCGATTCTTAGTGGTGGAATGGGGAAGTAGTGCTACAAAATAATTACAATATCCTCTTTAGTACTAGGCGAGCCTAAAGCCCTAAACAATTTTAGCTGACCTAAAAAAAAAGAAACCATTATTTTGAGTTTGATGGAGCTTTCCAATAATAAGGCAATACATTACCATACAAAAATAATAATAAAAATGAGTTGTTGATTAGTGGATTGATCATTTTTAGAATATGATATCTTGGAAGTAATGGCATGCTAATGATGCTACGAAGATAATGTATAACTAAGAATACTTTAATTAGGGTTTAATGGAGTTAACGCAATGAAAGGCTATCCGTTTAATTTGGTCTTTGATTGATTAAGTTTAAAAATTACTAATACAGTGATTGAGACATCACATGAGGAAGCCTCCAGATGAAAGGTGACAACTCTAAATACTCGTTTTTTTCTTTTTCTTCCTCTTCTCTCTTTAGACTTTAGAGTATTCAATTGAAGCATTAACAGGAAAATTACATTAGGAACCTGCTAAGATTGCTAAAGACATGACATTAATTAAGTTATAAACATTGCTAAGATTTTTTTTTAAAAAAAAACAAAAATATGCCAAGCCTAAAAACCAAAAAAAAAAAAATATGATTGATGATGTTTATATTTGTTTTCTCTAGAAGAATGATTTATGGAGGAGTTACTTAGCACTGTTAGCAGTTATTTTTTTTTTTTTTTTTGGTTTTGATTGGAATTTGGTGTTCTAGGAATGTCACCAGTCAATTCATGAATTCTAAAGTCTCATAAAAAAATTGTTCTCTAAATGAGAAAAAGAAAGAAAAGAAAAGAAAACCTTGATTGAAGATGACCTTGATTCAGGATTCTTCATTCTACATGATCAGTTTGGAAATGCCGACAGTCTAATAACTACTGGAATTTGATGCTTACGTTGTTAAACTGATTTATGACAACATTAACCTCCCCACCAAAAAAAGAAGAAGAATGCGCCAATTTGTTTAGGAGTACAGGATAAATTTTTTGTAGCTTTCGTTTTCAGCTTTTCGGCAGAAGGCAGGCAACGGCATCACTCCAAGTATATTAGTACTGGCACTATTTCATTCATTCAGGTTTGGCCAAGTCAATTGCGGCCTTCAAAATTTGCGCGTCTTTGAAGAATCATTTCCCTTTTAGCCTTATTCCAGAAAGTATAAAAAATATTCTGTCAAAAATGGTCAAATTAATTGCAGATAAATTGACCCCTTTCTTTGGCAATATTCTTCTTCCCCAAAAAGTCTACTGTAAAATTGTTATGAAAATTTGCTTTTCAGATTGCATTCAATTTGAGGAAAATTTTAATTATTATTATTTTTTTTGTATATAAAGCGTGAAATAGTTCTGATATAGCATTATGTTTTCCGATTGATGTGAAAAATAATGTACTTAATTTGTCCCCCAAAAAAAAAAGAGTTTACATTGTGTATTGAGGTTTTTTTTTTTTTTTTGAAATTAGTATAAATTCCAAAATTTTTTTGTGGACTATTTTCTTTAAATAGAAAGAATAGTTCAAAAGATCATTTTTTTACCAAAAAAGAAAAAGAGCAATCATATTTAGCGTTAGGGTTACTGACATTATTTATTCAATTTTCTTTTTTAATTTCCTCTTTTCTTAAATGATTTAATAAGCACTTTTTTTTTTACAATAAAAAGAGATAAATGGTTAAAAGATTACACAATAATAATAGACAACGTCTAAGAAACATGACTATATCGTATTCTAGTCACGGCTTATAATCACAAAAGGGCACATCTAACGCACCCGGTTTTATAAGTACTTGTAAATTGTAATTCATTATTTGAGTTATTTGATTTATGATTTTCGTATGAAGAAGGCTGGTTGTGGAGGGAAAGAAGATATTCTTGTCCCATGATAGCATGTGTTTAATGAAGTCAAATCCTTAAATTTATGGAGCAAGTTGATGTCTGGGGAGAATTAATGCGGAAGATTTGGGCATCGTGGGTTGAAGATTCTTGAGAATATTGAGATGATGATGATCAAAATTAGAACTTCCAGTTTGGTTTCCGGCGGAGCTTACGGCGGCGAGCTGTCATTGACTCGAATCGCGCAACCACTCACACTCCACTTCCCTCTCCCCACGTGGGTTGCTGCTTCAGCTTCGCCGTGCGGCAACGTTTTCTAATTTGCGGCGCCACTCTCTCTCTCTCCTCGCTTCCTCTTTACAGTTCACTCTTCCTTTCATTTTGTTTGTGTCCCGAGAAACGTACTCTTTACCCGACTGGAATCTGAATTAACCAACATAATTTGATTACTACGTAATATAAAAAAAAAAACTTTCAAACAAAATGATTTGAGTACTTCTAATAGGTGTATATTTTAGAGTATTAGATACTTTTACTCCAAAAAAAAAAAAAAAAAAAGAGTCTATGTTATTCTTTCTTTCGTCCTGAAACTATTGTCCAGTTTAAATTTTTACTTTTAGTAATCGATCCGAAATTATTGTCCAGTTTAGATTTTTATTTTTAGAATGGAACATTTTATTTCAACAAATAATTGTATGTTATGTAATATTCTTGAAATTGACTGTCATACTGTAGCTGCCGGTTTTAAAGCCGGGAATTTGACTAACAAGGAGGATGGACGGATGGTGGTTGAGCTGTGAAAAATCTTTGGTCAAACTGGAACTAAATCATAGTTGTGCAGCGAAGATCGGTCCATGTCTTGTGGGGAGGAATTTTTATACTACCTCTTTGTACCTATTCTCAATTTTTATTGCATCAAAGAAGTATCAAAACTTATGGTTCACACAGATGACAGATCTATATATCACAAAGTTCAAAACAATATATCCACTTAACTTCAATTTTCCGCAAAAGATACTACAATTTCCCCCCGTCTTCTTGGATGAATTGAAGAAAAGCCATATTCACCTTTGAACTGTACATAACAACTGTTACTTCCTCGGTTCATTAAACAAAATAATTATTTTTGTGACAAAAAAAGGATAGATAATTTACTATAATTTTTAATCTTGTTGTATAAAGTGACATTTTGAAGTAATTTTCAAATACATTACACATGCACGTACGAGTTTTCTGTTATCTGTATCACATAACATGAATCTTCAATTTATGTCCACATGCATCCAAAATTGAAAGGAAAATTTGAGTGGGGAAAAAATCAAATACACGACGATGACATATTTTATTTGGCCGTTTGTCCCAATCAATACACACCAAAAGAAAAAAAAAAAAAAAAAAAGAGGGAGTGAAAATAGAGTGGGTAAATAAAGGCAATAAGCAAGAAGAAATGGGAGGAGAGTATGGGACCGGATGGCATGCACGGGTATCAATCAAACTCTGTTTCATTTCAATAATATTTCATCTTCATCGCTCTCCTTAACATTAAATTACAAAAGTACAAAGTGGACTGGGAACTGTTGATACACGTTCTCACTTTTTTCTAACACTACCCCTATTTTTTTTTTTTTAATTGCCACATAAACGCGGTGGCATTTGTTCCTTTAATACAAATTTTCGAATACAAGAATTTTTTAGGATATAGGCAGAATTAATATATATATATTCCTTCAGTTTTTTTAAAATTAGCCCAGTTTGCAGTACAAATAGGAAAATGTAATATGGACTTCTTTTTTGAAACAGAGATATTACCCTTTGTATATATTCAGAAGGCATGGATAAAAACTAAACATTTATATCATCGGTGTATTCTTTTTGTCCTAAAATTATTATCCAATTTGAAATTTTACCGATAATTTAAACTAAAAATGAAATCTAAATTAGACAATAATGTCAAGACGGAGTATAAATTAGAACAGAAGCGTGTATGAACTATGAACGACAACACGAATCATTGATTTTTTGAATTTTCCTTTGCGTCCAACCGGCCACGGAAAAGGAAAGATTCACTTTCAAGCTCTTTTAAAAGTAATGCTCTGTTACTATTATCATTATCTTTCTTCCTATAGGAAAATCATAATAGGAAAAAGAAAAAACTATGCTCTGTGAATCGAGGAAGGGATTACAGTATTTTACAGAGGGAAAGATTATATAGTAACTTTCGAGTAAAGATTCGTGATTCAACGAAATCATCGATTGAATGGGTATTGAGAATTGGGGTTGATAAGAATGGTTATCAAAATCAAAGTCCGAGAGGGATTAAAGTAAATGGAATTAGTACTAAGATGTACCCAACTTTAAGGTGCAGGACAATATGGCATCTCTTTCTCTAATTAAATTTTGTCCGTGTGAAATCATGACGTTTCTTGTGTCATTATGCTGCTCTAAATAGTGTACTAGTACATAATTTACTGATTTCCTACATTTCAGTTTGTCGCTTTTACCTTTTGCCTGATTGTCAGTCCCTGACTCCTGACTGACTCTTATATTTTAAATCATTCATTCATTTCCTATCTCCAACAGCTACGTCGTCATTTTATCAATCACACAAATCCATGTTAATTTGCCAACGAAGTATGATCAAATGTTGCAACACCTTTCTTAATCTGGCTTTTCTAATGGATGGAGGAGTTGGAAATAAGAAAGAAAAAGAAAACTACAAACTGATATTCGATTCAATCTCCGTTCAAAAAAAAAAATTCACTCTTAAAATTAAAAATCCGCGTACATCAAAATATGTCGTACTAAGCTATTTATATGAAACGAGATGAATAATTAACAAAATGATGACTTAAACTACTGTGGCGGAGTTAGAAGGGACGGAGGGGCGCGGTCACACCTGTTTGATTTTCGTATCCCTACATTGATTCCCTAATGTTATTAGTAGTTTTGTCTAAATTTCGCATCCCCAATATTAATTTTCTGGCACCGCCATTACAGTTAACTTTTCTTTACCTAATTAATTAACTTTCTTTTTGATAGTTTTGACCTTCAGATTCTGATTAATGCTGCAAGAAAAATACTTCTACTGCCGTATATAAAACGTATCAAACGAGCACGTCCGTAGTCAAACCCAACACTTCGTAGGCAAGTTTTTCTGTTAGTTTTGTTTTGAAAGTGAAGTAGGTTAAGGAAAGCGTGTTCAAAGCACATATGCATGTTTCTCCAAACAGCTGGGGCCAATTTTGGTGATCGTTGAGCAAAACAAATACTCCTCCATATTACTAATGTTAATAATTATGAGTGGCAACACGTATAAGTAAGTCTAGGGAATTTTGCCAATCCTTTAATTCATCTTTTGGTCTCCAAAGACTTCAACTACTTTCCTGTTCAATTCTTTCTGTGTCTTTTAACCCTACATATATTGCCGAACAATAATTTACTAGGGTTATTGATGGTTAACCACCATACTCCATCTGTCCGGAAAATAATTTATATTGAGTTTTAATATTTGTACTGATCTAATAAATTTGATAGAGATGTTTTTTCAAGAAGCTGGATCGATTACGAATTTGGACTTGAATCAGTCATTGGTGTTAATTGATACTGATAAAAGATAATTCGTTTTCCATTCTCTATATCAACTTTCTCAGCAAATTGTAAATTCGTGAGCGGGAAAGTCTCTTGTCTCAGTTGAAACTAGATAACTGAAATAAATTTCGACAATCTTTGTACTGTATGCATGCATGGCTCTCAATGGATCTTTCTCCTTTATATGATCGATTCAGTGTACTCAAAAATTTTAAAATCATGATGAATTAAGAAATGTAGAAGAGCACGTGAACTGCCCATCAAAAACTGGAAACACGACTCTTCATTACCAAACAGTACTGATTATAAAATGTAAGCTTTGTTTTTATGGTAAACGAGTATTATTCTTCATTACGTTAGTTTGTCTTTTATATGCAGATTGCAGTTACGCGACTTTGTATTAAGAGACAGACCTTCAAGGTAATAAGCCTAATATGATTCCAATTTTTTTTTTCAAAATTCTATAGTACTTGAATAATAAATAATTATTTAAATTTATCTTGGGCTAAAAAACGCAGTTAACGACAATTCCTAGGTATTAGTAGTACGATAGATATAATTATGACGATAAGTAACTTTGGGAAACATGTGCATGTGTATCGTACTAACATCAACGAGTGATGTCTCCTCAAACGATTTGCTAGTTTTCAATTCTTTTTTTTTTTAACGATCTGTTTAGTTTTCAGTTTATTTGGTGATAGATTACTCTTGAACCGTGGAGTTTACTTCGATGGAAATATTGAAATTTATAGAAAATCATGTATTCACGTTAGTTGATAGGGACTCTGGAGGCAAATGCATAATCAACTAGAGGAGAACATATTGCAAAACAAATATAAATATACGATGACATAGATCAAAATAGTATGATCTCTGTCTTAAAATAATTAACCAGTTTTGATTATTATTTTTAATACTATACTAGAGATAAAAATCTAAACTAGACAATCATTTTAAACATAAAAATTATAAAATTTATTGATATTTAAAGTACTGGTTCACGACTTCAAGGGTTGAAGATCATCATGAAAGATCCAGAAAGAATTTAGCACTACGTACAGGACTCAAGTTCATGGCACCCTAAAAGGTTAACGTGATTATTCCATTTTCCCGCAAGTAATAATTATGTCATTTTATCAGGGTATTCGATGTTCAATTTCTATCTATATTATTAACATCGCACCAAACATAGAGCAGTGAATTACTACTATATATGAGTGAGCCACAATACTGGTATTGTTTCTCCATAAAAGTGTCTTACTCTACTATGTCGTTATGTACCTTTTAAATCAATACTTTCTATCATTGAGGTGTCTACAAATCAGCGAATGAATTAGTTATTATTACTGATGTACGCTGTGAAAAAAATAAAAATAAATCGATGCTTCTTAATTGTTTCCCAATGACACTCAAAACCAGGATTTTGATGTAGTTTCTTCTTTAATGGACTCCTTGGACTAAGTTACGGTGGTTCAAAGTCTTCTTCTTTTTATTTTGTTTGGGTTGAAGTATATTATTCATCTACCCTCGTCTTCAAACTCTTTAGTGCAAATACTCGGCCCGATAGCAATCTACCAATGGTGAAGATTGAACATTAGACTAAAATGTAAAATTGAACCATTAGATTCATAGGGTTGTCCATACAGGTAACTTTGGCTCCTTTCCACACAAAAAAAAAAAAAAATGGCTGAAGTAGAAGCATAAAATCTGCCGTGGTTAACAGGGTTCTTCCTCATGGAAGAAGTTCTGCCTACTTCACTTTGGTCTTAAAATTCAGGACCGCAGCACCAAATCATCCCACAAATGCTGTTACAAAAGCAGGCGCCTTGGAAAACATTAAGGAATCAAACTCAAAACTATACAGATGCATCAAGCCATATCTGCAAATCTTTTGATACAATCATCATCGGAATACACCTTCTGAAAAATAATGCTTCATATACACACAATCATCAGCTTGGACTACCTGAATCTTGCTGCCATTGCATCCGAACTCCGCACTTTCAAAATACAAAAAAAGAAAAAAGGAAAAAAGAAAAAAGAAAAAGATAACCTATATCCATCGTCCACCTACTCACCGGCTAGTAGACCTATATATAGGCATTATCCACCTACTCAGCGGCCAGTAGTTGTTCGCAATACAGTTCAAAATTTGTCATCTATACAAAAGTTCATATATTTACTCCTGAAATAACCTGTGAGTGCTCTAAAAGACGCACTCCAAGTAGTTATTATAATGTCTTCGATTAAATTCCAGTAAGCTGCCGTAGGTCCTATCTGCAACCCCAATGAAGAGGGATTCCGTGTCAGGACTAAAGGAGACCCCAGCTATTTCACCAAACAAGTCAATTTCTTGGGTGTGAGCGTAATCTGAACGTGTATCAAGGATATGAACAAAATCAGCTGGTTCAGCCATGGCCATGAATCGGCCATCTGATGTGAAACGTATGGCCCTGATTGCTCCCATTCTACCCTTGAGTACAGACAATGACTTTGATAGGTTCCTTATATCCCATATTCTGCAAGTGGTGTCTTGGTTCCCAGTCGCTAAAATCCTTCCGTCTGGATGCCAAGCTGAAGAGAATGAGTAGTCCAGATGCCCCTCCAATGTGCCAACTACTCTTCCTGATTGAGCATCAGCTATTAAGCATTCCGCACTATCACCAAGGACCGCGAGCAATCGGCCATCTGGGCTTACAGAAGTATTCTGGAAAAAATATGATATGCAAATGACATTTCTGAAAATGACCATATGGGAAATAACTATGTGTGGCAAAATAATGAGGAAGAGCCACTTACATTCACTGACCAAGGAAATGAGAATCGACTTATACAAGTAAAGTTGCTGGTGTCAAAAACCCGAACTTGAGCATCGTTATTTGCTGTCATAACTCTTAGTTGGCCACTGCATTAAATACAAATCCGTAAACAGGTCACCTCTCTGAAACAGAGATCACTTCTTAGGAGTAATAGGGATCAAATTCTTACTCTGGACTGTTGCATACATCAACAGCATTTGTGATGGCATTCTCGTCAGTGGTTATTTTGGTACAGAAAGCAACGTCAGGTTGGTTTAGGTACTGCAAAACCACAATTCCTCCAGTTCAGCGACATCCAGAGAAGTAGTAATAGGGATGAATATGAGATGCCAACATTTACCTTGCAGATTAGTTCCCCTTGAAAGCCACCAGCAGCCATCAAATTGTCTTTGATGGACATCGCACTTATCTGAACTCTGGAAACTGGCTGGGCCATTGACCCTGGATACTTCTGCTGAACAACCAATGTCAGAGAGCTAAGAAATGACCACATGACTCATAAAGAAAGGACAAAATATGAGACATTTACAAACTAACCAGCGATGGCACCATTGGCTTAGCCACATTCAGTACTTCTTTGCCTCTTCGCAGCAGCGATGACCAGTGCATTACAGAATAGTTTTGCATCAGATACACATCATGTTTTGATGTTGCAGATAAGAGGTTCCTCAACTGACAAGATCAAGAAAAACATTTTAGAAACTGCATAAGTTTACAGCATCACATTTCATATTTGAGACAGAATTGTACAAAGTCACAGAAATTAAGCGCAGCAAAGTTCAAAGCACAAGCTAGAAATTGTGTACTGCAAAAAGAATCGGCCACTTTGCAGCCGTTAAGCTTTTGGTGTAAAATGATGCAAGAAAGAAAAGGACGTGCAGCAGCTTTTGCCAAGAATGCTTTCGTCAGACACTAAATTCAAAGGAATTAGAACCTTTTGCATATGCAAAATGACGAATCTCAGGTTGGCTCAGTTATTTCCACAGTGATCCCTCCTAATTCACCCACTTCATATCTCTGTAAAACTTTTTGAACCCTAAAGTTGGTTAACGAACAAACAAGATTGATTCTAGCAAATGCAGGAAGTCCCCAAGTGCAATGTCCACAGCAATTTTATGAAAATGGACTAAAGAGTTCGCAGGGAACTTCACAAAAGATATAACTACCAACTAAAACATATTTGTAACACACAATTCACCCAAAAGAATAAAACAGGAAATAAAAATCACCAGAGCGATAACTAATTTCTCCCAGGAACAACATACTACAAGACCAGGGGCAGCTAAGATTTCTATTAACTGCCAAATATAGATGGAAACTGCAGAGAAGATGGAAACACTATGTTGACACGTATGACAATAGCAAGAAATGACACAAAGAATTCCTGGCCAAAGACAAATTTCCTAGGGATACAAAGAATAAGAGTATCAAGACTAAGAAGACAGGTCATCATACCAAGAGAACGTAGCAATTCTCACTGAGCAAACACCAAGATAAAAGAAATTAATGCCTTTTTTTTTTCTTTTTTTTTTTAACAAGAGTTTGGAATTAAAGCTATCTAACAGGCACCAAGTGAGTTTCGGCCTTGTCTAGCAAAAGTCACCAGGAGAGCAAAAAATTCTAGGTACAAGTGCACTATGCTAGCTGCTGCATGCAATGCTTTCTTGCATCGCAGCAGTTCTAAGAACCGGCAAGTAAACCATGTGGCTTATTCACATCAAATCATGAAGCTAAGCCACAATGAACTATACTTAAATCTGTGTGGCCCTTCATACCATATAGAAAATGTTTCCCTATTGCGCCTCCTTGGTCAGTCATAACTGCATCCTGCTTTTAGCGCTGAAATAGAAATAAATAGTAGTCTGTAGGGACAAAGGTTAATTAAGTAACAATAAAAAAAAAAAAAAGCGACTGAGCCCATCTCACTCCATCAAATCATGCATGCAGCAAATAATAATCAACATTTCAGAAACACAAACAGTAAACATATCAGCACTAAAATTGTGAAAATTTAACAAGATATAACAATCAATCTCGTGAGAAAAATTAAAAAAAAAAAAAAAGTATTAGTCCCAGAAATGCTAAACCACAGACTAGACATCAACGACTACAACAATGAAGCAACCAATGACTTTAAAGAATATAGACTCGTTGGGAGCAAACCCTCGACTCAAAAGCTAGGAAAAATCACATTGTCATTGATAAACCAGAAAAAATGTGATACACAACAGTTTTTGTGCCAGTAATGAAAACGCTTATTTATAAAAATGAACACTTTTCTCAAAATAAAAGGAACAAACTATGAGAAAGTTTGTGCATGTAACCCAAACTTCAGCAAACAATCAAGATTAACAAGATGAGCCAAAACATGATGTGTTTGACATCCCACTGTTTTCACATAACATCTTTGGTATGCAATCTTGACAAACTATATGAAGCAAATTATCTGCACCTCTGATGTTGTACCTCCCGTAAAGATCCTCTAATATTAATAGATTTCATGAGAAAATTTGAAATGGTTAAATGATCTGCAAGAGAAAGGTTAGGTGAATTACACGCCCCACTGGGCTTCATAATCAAAATTTGGTAAACACTGATACTACAAAATAAATCTTGAACAATATTGCACACCAGCTGTCGAAGCAACAAAAAAGCGAGAAGATCCAAATTGACAAGCCGGGTGCAATTTCATCCACAATGGAGAAATAGAAGTTAAGAAGAATCAAAGAAAAATATGAAACTTTAAACAATTTGAGGTAAACAAGTATCATGTAATTATCATGCTTTTCTTGACGCAAACTAAATTTTTCCAGGGTGCCGCTGAAGCATGAGAGGCTGGAAAAGTCGATATCCCCTAATTCAGGTCGACAAATGTGAAATTGAAACAACATTGTTGACAAGTATATGATGATCTAGACCACCTAAAGGATGAGTACTAAAAAACTACATTTGATTGATTGCGCCCTTTACATGACATTATGAAAACCACATCATCTTCAACCAACAGTTGTTATGCAACTCCCCAATGCAATTCACATGGTGATGTGGGAAGGAAAAAAATATTTGACAGAAGCTAAAGACAAAATACCAAGACACAAACCTCCTTATACTGAGGGTGATTCAAGGAGAAATCAAAATATTTTTACCTCCATGGTTTAATACAACCTCAATTGATTCTCCCGTTTCTTTGATGAATATAAATAATCGCAAATAAAATACATTATTTACATATTATACCAATTAGAAAGCCAGCGTAAAGTTAATCACCACAAAAGGGCACTCTTTTTTATATAATAAACCATTTATAAGAAAGGTGATGTGTTTATGTAGCCTAATAATTGCAGCACAAAAGCACTTAGGGGAGTACTGAAAATAGCATTCTGACCGAAATCAAAACACAAGGACAAACAGGAAAACAAGATAGCCGTAAAGTTCACCTCAAATCCATAAAAAACAATCGAAGGTCATCTCTGCAGGTCTATACCTGAAAGTGGACAATAGTTGACTTCACGAGCCTGGTGTTGAACTGAAAATCATAGAAGTTGTGGCCTTTCTCGACTTCCTTGCATTCCTGCCACCAGTAAACATAATTTAGGGCACTCTAGGCAAAGACAAGAAAATTTCACCCAATACCAGAATGCTATTACAAATGATTAAAAAATTGAGATAACATATAAACCAAGACCTAGGGCGAAATCCCCACCCCTCTTATCAACTCCACACCCTGCCAAAAACATCTAATGAATATGAAATTCATCCCTAGTAAATTACCCTTGGTTCTATCAAACCACCATAGGCCAACAGTTTTGCCACCTAACTGGCAGAAGCTAGATCATCACATCTAGCCTACAGTCTGCTTGACAGAATCACTGGCAACTTTACCATTCCATATCCATCAGATGCCCACAAAACCACTTGTGATATTAAAAAAGTGCCCAACAAGATCAATCAACTATGTGAATCAGAATTTTCTCTATAAAAGAATATAAATTGTCATATATTTTATATTCGATTGCCCCACCACTAAAACAATAGAGATCACATCTACATATTCCAGAAAGATGTTAGCAAATAAACAATAAGAAATGAATCCCCTCACACAGTACCCCACAGGACCTTCTACAGAACTTTCAAAAAGCCATAGCATCAACAAAACTTATATTCTGTTCCGGCACCTTCCCAATTAACTTGGAAAAGAGAAACAGTACCTTCTCAAGATCCTCACGAGAACGTGAAAGATTCTCATAGTTCTTGTACTGCTTAAGCCTTGTCTCCCTGTACTTGTCTCTTGTATAGTTCATCCTCTCCCAAGGTATCCCTTGTATGTCTTTTCCATTTCTAGCTTCCATGGCTGATGTATCTGTCTTAGCCTTACTCTGCACGATTGATTCAATAAAATAATTCCCCGATTTCCACTATAACCAAAATTTATAAGAAGAAAAACAATCATATAAAACAATAACATCGATTACCAGTTCAAAATCATCCTCAAAATCAGAGTCTAAATCATCATCTTCATCAAAAGATCCTCCACTCTTAGGGAAATCCCTAACGTCATCAAAAGGGTTGTCTTCAAAATCAGTATACTCGTCCACAACGTACTCAAGCAGGTCCTGGTTTTGGAAATGCTCCATCTTTTATGTCCTGAAAATTTCATTTAACTAGCACATATTACAAAAACCTCTGATTACGCACATAAAAGAAAATCCCTTTTTCAAATTCAATCAAAAGAAACGTCTGCTCACGAAGGAAGAATTAAAGAACGAAATTTTTCATAAAACCGTGAAAAAAAAAACAGAGGTTAGCACCATAAAAATTGAAGCTTGAGCTAACCTTTGCAAGAAATGAATCAACTGGAAAAGGGTATTAATATTTTCAAGTGATTTAAAGTATAGAAAATGGAGGATTGAGGTGATCTTTCTTATGTAGCTGAAGAAAGTGTTAGAACGCTTAAATTACCAGAATTCAGAGCGGTTTTGAAGAAATATGGCGTTACTACTTATAAAAAAAAACGGTGGAAAGCAGAAAACTGGTAAGGAAGGAGGAAGGCGGTGTGGGCCACTTCAAGTGTTGGACTGGAGTTTCTGTGGTCCTTTTGGCGGGGTCAAACATGGGACCTCATGTTTCTAACTGACGGTGACGGCGACATTTGCCGTTTTCCGTTTTCCTTTCTTTTTCCTTGTGATAAAAAAAAAAAGAAAAAAAAAACTGTTTTTCACTCGTATAAACAGAAGAGAGTATAATTTTACTTTTAATTGCAGTAAATAAAACAAAAAAAAAACATAAAATTAATATATTTTCTTATGATTATAATCCTGCCTTCTTGATTTACGAAATATATTTACTGAATTAAAACAAACCCAAAATTATGGGAGAATATTTGTTCTTGTAAGTAGATAAATAGTGAGGTTTTTTAGTAAGCATATACTCGCTCTTGATACTAGTATAATAATCACATTACACGTTTTCTACTTAATACAATATTTTAACAATCTTGTGGCCACTAAATCTCTTGCAAAGATCGTGTTAATATTCATGCTACATTCCAATTTGTAATAATCTGCAGATTTTTTCAATAATTATAGAGAAAATGAAATTAATTAATTTTCCCTTTTGATAAATTCCATTTCTATGCTATTAAATTTTGTGAAAACGAAACATCTTCTTGATGCACTACATGTGGCAAACGACGCAAAGGATGAGAAGGGAAAAAAGATGTATAGTTTAATCAATCCCTTTAGAACAAATATCCTGCTCTTCTAATTTTGGCCAATGATATTTTTAAGTTTTTATTTAACAATAGATCTTGATGTAATACATTGTGATATTAAAAAAAAAGAAGAAGAAGAAAAAGAAACTGTAGTCCATTAATTAGACCAATCTGAAGTTCAAAGCTCAGCTTAAAATATCTACATTGATTAGTGACAAGAAAACTGCATTGATGCTTTAGTTTGCTACGTGTAATTAGAGTAAAAGGAGAAAAAAGAAAGTCATTCCCTTAGCAGTTAATCAGAATATCGACTCACAAGAAGTCATTTCTGTCAATATTTGGTCTCTTTCAATTTTCAAAATGGAAGAAGGGGCAATCTATCTCTCATATCACTACCGTAGGATGCTCTTTTAACCCTGTAAACGATTTATAATTAAACTACTGATCAAGCATGTATTGTTCATTTCATATTGAATTGACTTCATTTGTCCCATCTCATCAGTTCTTTAATTTTCTGAATATTTTTTTTATGAATTCAAATTTCCACCCCTTCCCCCTTCAAATACCATCTCTTAGTACGTATTGATCATCGACCTTTGTTTCCAACTAGTGTTTCTATGCAAGTTGTAAATCTTATAATAAGTTTCATATTTTCATTTCATTATCGCGATAATTATTAAAATTTATTATAAAAATCACTTATATCTATAAACTTCAATAACTATAGTAACTTTCTCATAATTCACAATAATTCTATATATACAACTCCTCCAGCCGATGAGTGTTAAAAAGAACTTCCACGACACCAATAGTGGTCATGAGTCAGCCACTCATAAACCCTATGAGGTTTTTATATTTTTCTGTTAAATGTGTTCCAAATCTTGAGAGACTGTCTGTTAAATGAGATGATTAGAAGTTTAGATTGCTCGCTTCAAGTTTTGCTGATAGATTGATAATTTAATTTCTTTTTCTTAAAACATAGAAGACTTGACCACAAGAAAAATCATCGTTCCAATTCAAAATTATATTTATACCTCTTTTTATATCATGGTAGCGTTTTTCAAACTAAAAGGAAGAAATCAAAAGAAGCGTTTTAGGCAACCAAAAATTATATTTTTTTAATGTATTTTCAAACAAACTAGAAAACAAATGCTGGCCCAATCATATCATGCCGTCACTACAATAAGAAACATCCACCAAAACCCCAAACAAAACAAAACCACAAAAATCAATTAAATCCCCATTTTTTAATAGTAATAAAATGGAGAGAGTGAGGCGTGAACCAAATGAAGCTGCAGTCCACCAACTGCGTTGTGAGATTCCACGTGTCAGCACATAACAGCCGCACTGTGAATCCATGGCAAATCAAAGTGGACCCACGTGGCAAATGGAGGGGTCTACACAGCATTGCGATTGCTTCCGTCCGTCACTGCTAACCGAGCTGTTAACGGAAGCTTAACAAACGGCGTTAATTGGTTTAGTTTTAACTATAGTGACCGGTAACTTACGTTTGACTCTTATACCGAACTAGATTATGGTCGGTCGATAAGGTGGTCCCACACTACAAAAAGCTCACCCGTCACTAATACTACAAGTATTTGTTTAATTATTCCTGTAATTCGAAATCAAGGGTCTAAAGCCCAACATTAATAAACACAAACAACACATGAACACCACTCAACCTTTGAATTTTTGAGGATCGATCCAAACGCTTGTTATTTTGACTCAAAACGATGTGATCGAACCGAGTCAAGGTGCACGAGTCATACGTCCTTCGAGGAATTTGGTATTATGAAAAGTTTTTTTTTTCTTCGAAATTAAATATAAAAAAAGATTAATATATTTCCATTGTTTTGAAAAGTTATAAACATAGGAGCATGCTCTATTTAACTGATATAACTATTTAAATTTTGTTGGATGCCCAAAACTGAAACGGTTTCAAGATTTTGTTCAAACTAGTATTACACTTATGATTGTAATCCACATGCAATAAGGTTTAGAGTATCAATTATCGGATATTACGAGCGTACGTTTGAGTCTTCTCTATATCATGTGTTATAGATAAACACTTTTTGATCACTGATCAAATTAATCCTCTAACACTTATTTAATGACCAATGATAATGTCGTTTAACTTCTCATCATTTGTCTAGATAAAATATAAAATTGGGGGAGGTTTTCTGCATGTAATTATCCCCCGATCAGAACAGACGAAAATGGGGGGGAAAGAAGAAGAAAAGAAGGTATAGTACTTGTTTGGACGTCAACTTACATTTCATTTTGCCACTTAAAAATGGAAAGTGTTTCAAATTGAAAACTAAATGGGAAATAAAAATGTTGTTTGGATGTTAGTTTTGAAAAAAAGTATTTTGAACTACATTTTGAAATATCAAGTACAAGTCACCACCAAACAATTAAATAGTGTCAATTATAATCACTGCAAAAAAGAACTTTTCCAAAAACAATCACTCAATAATGGAATCCTGCCAAATTTGTCACTGAACTATTTGTAGTTCTAAAATAGTCATTAAACTAACAAAAAGTATTTTAAGTTGGAATTTAAAATGTAAATCAGAAAGTTATTTGGATGATGTTTTCTTTTCCATTGAGTTTTGTGTTTAAGAGGTAAAATGAATTAAAATATAAAATGAGTCGACAAAGAAACATAGCCATAATTATTTTAAGGTGCCATTGTCCGTATCAAACAAAAAGGAGACTGAGACTTTGATTTTTCCCATGGCTAATTAAAATAAATTATTCCATTTTGAAATTAAATATTTTACCTTTCTGGCCTAAAGGTTCTAATGATTTTATCTATTCTCTACTACTCTTCTTGTCCCACAAAATAATTTACACTAAAATTTGTAATAAATTATGATAAAAATAGTTCAATTTAAACTATTCTTTATGGAATGAAATATTTTTTTTTAAAATATACAAAGAGTTTGGAGCTTTCTTGTTTATAAAAAAGTGGTACTTTCACTTTCTTGATCGTCTGCAAACAGCTAATTATTGTCATTGTCAAGTGGACATTTTTCTTTATTGAAGCACTTTGAATACTTTTTTTTGTTAGGATTTCTACAAACTATGAAACAACATTGTCAATTTCGTACCCTCTTACTGTCCCAAAGTATGAGCCTGGTTTCTTGTACTATGAAATGTTAACAAACGTGATCATTTTGAGATAATTTTTTAAGGAAATATGCTACTATTATTATGTACATAATAGTACAAAAGTTCAAAGAGCTTAGTTGATATTCTCTTATTTCTCTAGTACATGAAGATTCAACAATCTTGATTAAGTGGGCATGCATACTCCTACGTGCGCTCAAACTAACTGGAAAATGTTCTAAATTACCTCTTAGAGTTTCTTTAATGTTTTAGCGATGCACACAATCAAAACATGTATCGTTTCTGTCAAAAAAAAAAGAAAATGATTCACATTATACATTATAAATTATATGTAAAACAATACAATTTCTAATTTAACTGTGTGCTATGTTTGTAAAGCAGAGAGAATACATCACTACAGGGGAAAAAAAAGTGTTATACGCAATAGACTTTTTTTTTTTTTTTTTTGTCATAACTTCAAACCTAGATCAGAATCATACATCTTCAAATTTCAAGTGGAGTTCTTTTTTGATGCGATCATGTGAAGTAGTAGATGGTGCACAGTTGCACACAATCAATCAACGCCATTGCCCGCTCCAATCATAATGGTAGAACAAAGAAATCTCAGCTGTTTCGGGAGTTATTATGTGCGGACATTTTGGATTGTATCGAATAAAAACCACGAAAACCAAAATCGTTACTAGCATCTTAACAAAAATGAGATTGTATCGAATTTTGCCAATAATGCTACGTTGTTGCCCTTCTTCGTAAATTAGTTGTAGTAGTACATAAAATATTTAAAAAACAAAAATACTGTAAAGTACAAAGTTCTGGAGCGAGTATGCAGCAATTTTATTATTTTTTTTTCATTTTCAGAGAACACACCAGTTAGTGGATCTCTTTCCTACTCGATTTCCTTTTGGGATGCAAAAAATTGATTAACTGAAACAACAATCACGACAATTCCTTCTGGATATACACTGATGGTTAGGACGGAATTGTATCAGAAGATTTGGGATAATTAAGTGAGAACTGATGTTACATTTATCTTATCTACTTCTTTGACAATATTGTCCTACCATAATAGTATGTGTTCCGAAAATTGTAAATTTAATACTCTCTCTTTGATTAAAAAATTATCCTGTTTAGATTTTTACTCCCTTCATTATTCAATTTGACTTTTCATTTTTGATTTAAATTACATTAAAAGTGAAAATTTAAACTAAACAGTAATTTTAGGACGGAGTGAGTATAAATACTAAAATAGAAATTTAATCTAGGCAATTATTTCAGAAAAATGGAATATAAAATTTGAAAACTCTTGTGTGAATCTGAAGACTATGGTGTAAATGAGTTCTTTATATT